TACAGGGAGGAGGCAGTGAGTGCCTGGGTCCCCCAAGCCCAGGCCCACATGGAAGGGGCTAATACTGGGCTGAGATTGAAGGGTGGGGGACACAAAGTGTCTGCTCCAGAGGGGCCAGCTGGCCCAGCCCTTGCCTGGATACAATCCATAGGGCAGCTGGGGGACACTGGGCGCAGGGCTGTGCCACTCTCCCTTTTTCCATCTGGTAAGGGAGAGGAGGATTCTGGGCTCGGCCAAGCAGCTCCCTGTCCTGCCCCATCTCATCCTCAGCCAATCAGAATGGCTTCGATGTTTGCTTGAAGATGAAGCCTCGATATGCGAGTGTCTTCATGATGTTGGCAATGTTCTTGCAGTCATTGAGCTGCCAGGAGGATATGCAGAGGGACTGACCGATGCCGCTGTGGGGCCGGCCTATGTGCTGCAGGCTGAGGCCCTTGTTCATGTCTAGAAGTCCGTTCTTGGGCCAGCAGCCCATGGCGAAGCTGTAAGCCTTTTTCAGATTAATCCACTGCTTGAAGTAATCCGCCACTGGCAAACCCAAGTACTGGCACTGGCCTGGGAGCATGACTTTTAAGTCCCAATCTCCACAGGTGACAAAAATTGACTTGACGTCTGGATCTAAGAGGCCTTCCTTTGCCATCCACTCATCGACCCTCTCTAGCACTTGCTGCAGGCTTGGCTGACCATCCACCATGGCTTGAATAATCCCAGTGAGCTCTGTACAGAAGGGGGTAAGCTGTGGATGGACTACAGGCTGGACATACATGTGAAAGGTAGACTCAATCTCCATGGTCCGGCCATTGAGCTTCAGGATGGGGAACTCAATGATTTCCTCCGCGCACTCTGACCCCGATCGACGCAGCTATACGGTATTTTTAGACTTGTTTTGACTATCTTGGTTTACTAAGGAAAGATAATGTTCGTGCGCCATCTAGTGGACCTTAATACTAATTACGGAGTAAATTTATTTTATTTTATTTTATTTTTTATGTATTTAGTACAGGGTCTTCAAGGTCTCACTATGTAGATCGGACTCGTAGTGATTCTCCTGTTTTCGGCCTTCCAAGCGCTGGGATTATAGGTGCACACCACCACGCCCAGTCTCAGTCGTCCTGCAGGTCGGTCGGCATGGCATGCCAGGCATCAAAGCCGGCCGCTGAGCCACAGGGGAAATTTAGAAAAGGCTGTGAAATGTGTCTTTCGTGAAATCTAGTTTCTATTTAGAAAATATACACACCTATTAATAAATCATGAGACTCCTACCATCAGTTAAACGACAAAATGTCAGTGACTACTGTTAAGACTGGAGGGAGCCTAGTGTGGTGGTGCATAACTATAATCCTAGCACTTGAAAGGCTGAGTGAGGGAGGAGGATCATTGTGAGTTCAAGACCAGCCTGGAGTCATGGCAGCTTTTCGCGACATTGAGGAGGTGAGCCAGGATCTGCTGAGTCTGCTAGGAACTAACCACGCCCAGGCACGGCAGCGACGGCTCCTGGGGTGCTACAAGCAGATCCCGGAGTGGCTGCTGGAGATGCAGAATGGCTCTGAGCAGCTGCTGTGAGGCGCCTCCTGTCCAACTGCAGAGACGCTGGCCGCAGAGGAGAAGGTGGCCCAGAGCCTTCTGGACTCCAAGGAGTGCGTGCGCCAGGGACCTGTGGACCTGTGGCAGCTAGAACCCGAGCTCCAGAAGGCAGGGGAGGAAGGCAGCATCCTGCAGGCCAGGCTGCGCCAGCTCAGCCAGAAGCTGCAGGACCTCAGGGAGCTGGAGGCCGAACTCGACCGACAGGAGAGAGAGGTGGATGAGGACACCACAGTCACCATCCCTTCCTCAGTGTATGTGGCTCAGTTTTACCATCAGATTAGTGAAAAAGAGTGGGATTCTGAGTGCGAGCCTGGGACCATCCGCAGCATCCACCATGGCCCCAGCATGGCCCAGTCCATCCACCTGGACAGCACCCAGCTCTCCAAGCAGTTTGTCAGCGACTACCTCTGGAGCCTGGTGGACACCGAGTGGTAGCCAGGAGCCACGGGGACCGACCCGCACACCGAGGCTGCTGTGGAGGGCTTCAAGTGGCCAGGTGGGGGGATCAGGTTAAAAATAGATGTCTGCACTGGGCCTGGCTGTGCTCTCCTGTCATCCAAGCACTGGGGAGGCTGAGGCAGGAGGACTGCCTGCCACAAGTGCGAGGCCAGCCTGGGCTACATAGTGAGACCCCATCTCAAAAGGCAAAATAATAATAATAATAATAATAATAATAATAA